CCTTTGGTCCCTAGGGGCAAGGGGTAGGTTAGCAACTAGAGAACCTAGCCCACGAGGTGGTAGTTTCCTTGAAGGGGCACATTTCGTTAAGCCAAAAGATGTATGCTCTTTCAAGAGTATACTGTAAATTTCCCCCCTTGGGTAAAATTTCACGTAGGATTATTTTTAAGATCTTTGGGGTTGCAATATCTTCAACTCTTAACTCTTAGATTAACGTCAATAAGTAAAATTTTATAATTGAACCCTCTATGCACTTGAAAATATATAATACCTCAAGATTGAGAATAATCATTTAGTGATCCTTAAATGGTTCCCAAAATTATAAATTGAAAATATCCTCCCAAGTAGGTCTTCTAACGTAGGGGATAGACGTATATTATGCTCTCGTGAGAGATTATCAGCTAGCCCAAGAGCAAAGGGGCATACTTCACTCCTTTAGGTAAAACCATACATAGAAATGTTTTTAAAATTCAAAATTGGCCATCAACTTCCAAAACAAAAATTTCACACACACTCTATTATAAGTGCCTGAGAATGATAGTCCATATTTTGGTTAATAAATGTGAATATTTATGGACCCAAAGTTTGATTTCCTTTTCTAAAATACTAAGTGGAACCCAAAATTTGAGATGGAAACATATTTTCCAAAATAAATATTTTACTCAAAAGAGCAAGGATATAGTGTACTCCTCCTCGAGTATGTGGCATGTGCCAAGGACTTTGGAGAAAAGGCTTAGTCTTTCGTAAAATTTTCTTCATTTTCAAGGATTAGTTGCTTTCATGTGTACTTAAGTGGCCATTGACTTTTTTTTTCTAGACTTCGGTAGCTCTTGACTTAGCTACCACTACAGATGATGAGTCTAGATCATTTTAACCTAGGTTGTTTAAGCTCCAAGAAATTGTGGTTAAGAGACACAAGTCCTTTAGTAACACTTTTAGAGACAGTAACATGTATTTTTTTTTTGTTCGGATTGTGTCTATAAGACTATTTATATTTGGTACAAAGAGAATAAAATGATCTCTATGTTAGAAATTTAGAATACTGCAATGAACTCTTTTTTTATTAATTAATAAAGAATATACAATATCTCGTATAAATATACGGCACGTAACCGTTATGGATAGATACCAACAGTTATGGATAGAAACCAAGTTATTGATCATTACTAACTAATCTTATCATAATCCTAAACACCTAATCTTATCCAAATATATATACCCATACAATCAAGATATATATATATATATATATATATATATATATATATACTCTACTACTACCTACCCTACCTAACTACAAGAGTGTACGTACGACAACAAGACCTATGCGGTTAGTTAGTAAACTAAGTTAAGTTGACTAAACGTAAA